TTTAGATTTAATATAGAAGAAGATTGACCATCTTTTAAGAGAGGAAGAACCTTGTTATCTTTCCTTTCAAAAAGCAACAAATCTCAAGGTATTCCAATTCCTACAACGCCCATTCCTCCAAACTCATCTCTTGAAGTTGAATGGCCTTTATCTTTCAATCTTAATTTGGAACCATCTAATTCTATTGAATTGGACCCAGGAAAAAGAAAGCAATATGTGAACATCCATTTGAATTTGTATTTATCTTGCATTTAATGCGTATAATATTGGCAATTACGGATATGCTTTTTTCAGGCGCTTCGGAAAAAACTCGAGACATCTTAACTGCTATAAGATTTATCCACACTATAAAACTATCCTTCAAGCATTGAGAGAAGATGGCTGGAAAGAATTTCTTAAAGTGAAATTTTTTCCTCAAAAAATGATATACATGTACCTAACTTTGATGGTTCGTATGTGGTTGGTCGTTCTCGTGGTCATGAGTATCCTACTATTAAACATCATTTTCACTTTGATATTTTCAATACAGACATAGATTTTCAGATGATGGAGTTAAATACAAGATTTAATGAGACATCATTAGAACTACTTTCTCTCAGTATGGTTTTGGATCCAAAAAATTCTTTTGAATCATTTAACATGGATAATATTTGCAAGCTTACAGAGTAATTTTATCGTGAAAATTTTACAGACCAAGATATTTAATGTTCAAAAGTTGAGTTACAACATTATCAGAATGATGTGATCTCTGAACCTCGATTTCAAGTACCTAAACTTTCTGATTTATGTTTGAAATTGGTTGCAAGCAAAAGGTCGGAGGGTTACGTCATTTTGACTAAATTGATTTGTTTAATCCTGATACTACCTATTTCAATGACGACTGTGGAGTAACATTTTCTGTAATGAAACACGTGAAGATGAAAATTTGTCAAAAAATGGATCATGATTTTCTTGCTAATTGTTTAACACTAAACATCGAACGAGAATTTAGTATGAATTTATATCTAGATTCTATTATAGATAAATTTTATTCTGTAAAATATCGTCGGGTACCACTATAATAGGTAACGTTATATTACGATTTTTCTTGTTATATATAAATTTTAATGGTAAATTAAATTTTCAAAAAATTCCCCCCCCCCCCAACCCAAGCTTTAATTGCCGGGCTACTACCCTGCTGTTGAGCATAATTACTCCTATCTGCCCCTCTTTGTAATGTAATTTTTACATTCCATTAAATATTATGAGAAGAATAGGCGAAAGTAATTCCGTGCCATTTCAAACATTTTCGTAGCATTTTATCATCTTCGTACACTTCCTAACATTTTCAAATGATTTTATCATTTCCGTGCCATTTTTAGGATTTCATGTAGTTTCGTATCATTTTGTACAATTTCTTACATATTGTTACCATGATAAAAAGGTAATAATGCCCATTTCTGGGAATTTGTTTCATTTTTCTCCTCAGTCGGGCATCTTCACTTCACTTCACTCCCAAGAACCTCACCAGGTTCAGTGTTGTGAGATAAACATTTTGTGTAGTCATAATGCTGGTGGATGAAGCCACAAAAATAATCTAAACAAGAAACCTTGACCTGATCTCAGTTTCTATAGGAGAATATAATGCTGCTTTAATTATATATTTATATTATGATTAACGCATAACCAGAAAATGCTATCATCTTCTAGGCAAACTATGGGATTTGGTGTTTGGATTTTGCATTTTCTTGTTTGGTGGTAGTCCTTCTATTGTTAAGCCGACTTGATTTATGGTCCCTTTGTAGTTGTTTTGATACACTGATCAATACAATTTCTTCTAGTTTAACACATTTTTTCTACTTTTGATTAAAATTATATTTATGAATAATTAAAAAATTAAAAAGCTTATTTCCGCAAATGGGCATTCATTTTTCACAAGTAAAATTTTAAACAAGTTTTATGAATAAGATGAAAGCTAATTTATACAGCAAATATAAAACCAGTTCTATATTTCATTATATAAATCGACACTGTAAAAATGAAAGCAAAAAAAAAAAAAAATACTAAAAGCAAAAAAATTAGACTTGAAAACATGAATAGTGAAAACACAAAAATTAAAGGAAGCAATGAAGATGGTGGGAACAAGGCGGGAAGGATAACAGTTGTTGAATATAACCCCCTCCACTCAAAGAAGAGTAGATCACAAATTCTATTATCTTCCATCCATTGATGACACTGAGAGTCCATTAGCTGAGAACTCCTTTTTCTTGCCATTTTCAAGTTCATAAACTACATTACTTGTGACGAATGCTGGGCATTTTGGCATTAGCAAAAGCTTCGTTTCATTTTTTAGCATGGATAGAACATCCTCAATCGTAGGGCGATCAGTTGAACGATTTTCCAAGCATAAAAGACCGACATGAATGCATCTTTGCAATTGATCTATACGGCTGCATGAACTTTTCAGTGTCTGATCCACGACCTCTAATGCAGCATCTTTGCTCCATAGTTCCCAGGCCTACAATTGTTTACAAGAATCTAAATACAAAGAAAGATAACAAAGATGAGACAAAAATATGTCATACCAGTAACTTACATATTCCACTAGATTGAGAGGACCTTCTTGATTGTGGAAGCTATTGTTTTTTTTACCACTCACAATCTCAAGCATTAAAACTCCAAAACTATAGATGTCTGATTTGGCAGAGTAAATACCCTGCATTGCGTACTCGGGAGCCATGTAACCGCTGTAAAATGAACAATAGACAGCACTTGGTGATAATGTTGATGAGCCTTGAGAATATATATACACACTATTGGCAGACAATATGAAAACAAAATATTCTTTGTTACTTACTATGTCCCCACACGCCTATTTGTATTTGCTTCTATCACATTCTGATTGAAGATTTTTGCGAGTCCAAAATCAGAAATTTTGGGGGTCATGTTCTCGTCAAGTAATATATTACTGGCTTTTAAATCTCTGTGAATTATCCTTAATCGCGAATATTTGTGGAGGTACAGCAGTCCTTGAGCAATCCCTTCGATGATGTTGAAACGTGTATCCCAGTTTAGGACCTCCTTTGCTGGATCTATCATGATCATTAAATGTAAATCACAAATTTATAATTATAATTTCAGAATTTTCAAGTACTCCTCTTGCAAATTATGCCAGTCCTAAGGCCTTCCCAACTTAAATCACATGGATTGTGTTCTACTTGTGATAATTTTCTGCATGTCTTCATATCTCAAAATATACTAATTGGCATCATATTGACTTTTCTTAATTATGGAAACATAAAACCGTTTGTAATAGGTACAAAAACTAATGATCATCAGTATCTATGATCTCATTCAAGTATTGCCTATGTTCTAGAGAGCATAAAAGAATGAATTGTTCGCAATAGATGCTACTTACGAAAGAGAAAGAAGTCCAAACTTTTGTTGGACATGTAGTCATAGATTATCATCTTCTCGTCTCCATGGATGCAAAAACCCAATAACTTGACTAGATTCACATGTTGAATTTTAGATATAAGTATTAGCTCGGTTTTGAACTCGAGCAATCCTTGATTTGACCCTCGTGAGAGTACTTTGACTGCTATTTCTCGCCCTTCAACCATTTTTCCCTGTAAGGGCACATAAACATGTACAATGTATTTATCAATAATAAAGTTTTACATTGAAACAACACTTAAATGCCAAAATGGTGTCACATAGCAACGATTGCGTTGCCTAAAATTACATTGCTCTAATTTTTCTACATTATTATTCCCTCTAAAGTAATCTATAATCATGGAAGAGATGAAAGAGAGTATACATGCTCTAAACTTTGCCTTGTGCCTTGGCTTGCATATTCTGATTTGTTCACATCCGTAGGAATGAATAAAGAACCAACCAACTTGGCTTTTCGGGAGCTTAGGTGGGTTTTTGAGTGCATGTCAAGGCTACTAGCACATAATATGGCATGATCATTTCAACCTACAGCTCACATCTTAGCAAAATGGAATGCTTGCACCCGTGCAAAGCTTGTAGCTAAGTTTATTTACTCCCACTCTTTACCAATTGCTTCGCTTGGATGGGTACGCCTTTGTGCATCAATGCATCTATTCATCCTATGATGCAGTGAGAATAAGCCCATGTTTGAGCTCCATTCTAAAAAAGAAAAACTCATTTTCTACCATATATTCTCCTAATAAATTAATCTTACATGTAACTACTTTTTAACCACACATTTTTCAAAAAAGTACTATTACAAAATCTATTTAGGGTTGGGCAAAAACCAACCCAAAATCCTCAAACCAACCAATCCATCCCAAACGGACCGGTTTGGGGTAGTTTTTAAGTTCAATTGGGTTGGGTAGGGTTGAAAAATTAAACTTGAGGTTGGGTCTCGGGTTATAGATTAAAGCTTAATTCAACTCAACACAATCTAATCCGATGAATTAAAAAATTTAATACCTAGAATGGAAAAATTAAAAATCTAAATAGACACAATAGTGGATATAAGAGAAGAATTTAGAATATACAAACATCCTTTTTTATATAGGATGTGTTGACATATGGTCAACTTCATCCTCAAGGTTTTGATCATAACAAATAAGATTAATATTGTTTTTAACAATTTATTTTGAGTTATGATAGCTCAATGTTAAAATCAATCAAGCATTATACATCGGACTTGAAATGAAGATCAAAATGAAAGTTAAGCATTCAAGTCAAATCATTCGAGACGAGAGCTTAAAAGATAAATGCTAAGAAAAATCAAGATCAAGACAACGAGGGATGACATCAAAGAAAGATCAAGACGAGAAGTTCAAGAACCAAACAAGAAAGAAACTTCGAGGCAAGATCAAAAACTATCTTTCTAAATCATATGCAAAGATATAACACTTTGATCTTTAGAATAAATGACAATAGCTCAAAAATCATTTTGCAAACGAAAAGTTATTTTCATCGTCACTTGCATAAAATGTTTTAATCAAAAGTAAAATTGATTTTTCAAAGTCATGATTGAACGTGGATCACAATTCCAAAAATAAAAAATAAATTAGTGGTCAAAGTCAACGGTCAACTGGACATCCAGTTCGCCAATGGTCAAATTTTTTAACCGTTGCACAACAACTAATTTGATCGTCCGATTGATAAGCAGACATCCGGTTGGGCAGAACTTTTCCGTTTTGATTGCTATAAATACCACTTCACTTTCATTCATCACAACAACCATGAAGAGAGCTTCCTAGTGAAGTATATTTGTGAAAAATCTTATTTGAGCTTACATTTTTATTTTTATTTTATTTATTTATTCGTGGCAAAAAATTTAATTGTTGAATCAAATTTTTTGAATCAATTTCTTTCATCAGAGTTTTCCATCTCTCTTTGTTCTTAAATTATTTATATCAATCTTAAGAGAGATATATTTTTGAAGAAAGTCTTTGCACTTATATTGTATAATCATTTCTACTTCTTTATATTAAAAACTTTAATATGAAACTTTGATTCATTGAAATAACTTTGTACAATCATCATATTCATCAAAGTTTTTTATTTCTCTTAGTACTTAACTTATTACAATCATTCATTTAAATAGAAATATTGTTGAGAAGATTTTTTGAATTTACATTGCATTTATTTCTTCATAATCTTCTCATTGAAACACTATGATTGATTGAATCTAACTTTTAATTATTATATTCATCAAAGTTTTTCATCTAGCACTTAAGCTATCATTTACTACCATCATTGAAGTGTTAGTCTCTCTTAGTACTTAATTTGATTTGTATTATTTATCAAAAGAGGATTTTATTGTAAAATCACTTTGGTAAAGTGTTGGTCATATTGAGGTCTCGTAAAGCTCAATAGATGGGTCATATTAAAGTCCCGTAAAGCTCAATGTATGGGTCGTGTTAAGATTATAAGGATTTGTACTCCTTGTTTGTAAGTCATCGAAAGCGTTGTAAAGGGTTGGATTGCATCATAAGTCAATCAATATATTGAAAAGGTCTGTCAGAGAACTTGATAACAGAGAACATAGATTATAATCTTGGATCGAACCTCCACAATTATATATTTGGCATCCTTACTCTCTCTTTTATTTACTGTTTTCATATTGTGCTCATTACTTGTTTTTATTTGACTTTATACTTGTGTGTATTTGTGCATATTTGTCTAATTGTTTCATTTGCTATCACATTGGTTTAAATCTAGAATTAATTTTCGAAAAAATCTTGAAAACCAATTTACCCCCTCTTGGTTAACTGTTCTTGGGATTTCATGCTGATTGGTATGAATGTTATGTACAAATGCAAAATAATTCGACGATAAACTAAAAATTAAGAACGTGATAATGAAATTAATAAATTCCAAAAATAATTATAAAAACAAAATGCTCCATGGTTTGAAATTTATTTATAAATTAATTTTCAAAATGAATTTCTTATATAGATTAAAAATAATGGAGATTTTCAAGTGGTTTCAAACTTTAAAAATGATCAAATTCAACAAAAAATAATCGAATTCAACTTGAAATGGGCCCAAGCCTAATCGACCAACCAAACCCAAACCAACCCAAGTTTAATCAATTTGGGTTTGGTTTAAACTAATAATTGTATTGTGTTGGTTTGATTTTAGGTCAAATCGACCATGTTGGATTGTGTTTGGATTTGATAAAAACCCAACCCAACCAGGTCTCAAACAAGGGCTAAGGATCACTTTGGAACTGTGGAGGAATGGACTCTTAAAAAAGGATATATCGTATGTTTCAGGTCTTGGATCTGGTTATTCCAATTCTCTGATGAGTTTAATTAACGAACTCTTTGTGTTTCCAGTGGTGACAACAAAAATATCTTATTGCCTCGAGAAACTCCAATCAAGTTCACTATGAGGGCATACATATGGAGTCTTCGAATAACGGTTGCCATATTTTTTTTCCTGCCTATGACAGGTAAGAGGCCTTCCGAATTCTACCACAAAGATCACTGCTCAATCACAGCTAGAGCATAACGGGTAAAACATATCAGGGAAGAAGAAAGACTCTGCACATTACATGAAGGATGAGTAGTACTAAAGATTAGCTCTGTCTCCAACCTACAGACTGAAGAGCTGATAATCATTACGCATTCTCTCACCTTTCATGCAATGAGTGCATATTTGCTAGTGGTTGCCAAGGACTAGTAATCTTTAAAATTATTAGGTCAAAACAAAGTAGTTCAGTGAAGGAGAACTAGTTCAGAGGAAGGTATCTGGGGGGAAACAAGAAGTTTGATATGGAAGTTTAAATCAAATTAGGAAGGCTACCTTAGGATCCTAGTAACTAAGGGACAAACGGGGCAAACTGCTCATTAGGAGATGGAATTTTTTTTGCCATAAGAAATTCAATACATAACTTCTTTCCGTTGTGCTGAAGTCTTGGCTTCGTTCAATGATTCTCGGAAGGTAAACTGACAATGCCCACGGCTTCATTGAAGAGGCACACAATCTTAAGGGATGACCACCCATCAAAGACTCATCCTAAGTGCTAATACATTTGCTGAAGACAACATTTAAATAAATAATTGGAGTTGGTCACCAAAGTTAGTCACAAAAAAAGACTTGGGTTCAAGTTTCTTTAATACCAAACTGTCAAAAATTGTCATGTATCAGACTTTCGATGGATTGATCTGCACGTGAGGAGGAGTGGTAACAATATATAAGTGTGTGTGTCGCATATCTTATGGTTTAAGCTTTTAAAAATGCCCTATCTTTTCTATGCGGATAAGATGGCATCCTGAAAGTTAGTTATGTAATCAGCCTGCAAAGCTCAGGTATCGTGGCCCTCCAAGTCAAGGGCACTTGATCCTGACGATAAATCGGCTATCCAAGATTCAGCATGCAAAAACAGCCCTAAAAGTAGCTACGAAATGAAGAATGATTTTCCTTTCAAATTTACCTTATAAACAGGGCCGAAACCACCCTCACCCAATTTGTTTTCTGATGAAAAGCTATTCGTAGCAGCCAGGATAGATGAATATGTAAACAGTCTGAGATCATGTCCCTTTCTTCCGTCGTTGTCCAGTTCATCTGTGTCTGTATATTCCTCTAGGGTTATCATTTTTTCAAGTTCTTCCTCCAGTTTCCCTATAAGACAAGATGATCGCCAAAATATCAATATAATAACCGCAATGAATATAGTTTAAACATGGAAAATCCAAAAGTTATCGAAAATATACCTTGTTTAATTTTACGCATGATGAACCATGAACTGCCCAACAATAGCAGAACTACTGTAGTCACCACAGCAATGGTTATCCAAATCATCTTCTTCTTTCCTGTCATTCATCATTTGCTTATAGTGAATCAGATTGATTATTTTCTTTTCATGGATATTAACTTGAGGAATTTTACAAATAGGTGCAATAATACAGTATGGCCTCCATCACCATTCATAATCCAGTTCACAGCAATCAGTATTATTTGACCTCTAGCTTCGATATATGAAGGGGATCAGGATAGAACTACTCATAGGGAAGAAAATTGATTTATGGATGGAATTAGTTATTGGGTAAAAATCAATATAGTTCTAATGCCAAATCAGGATATCAACTAGGACAGAAGTAAATCATTGGGTCGAACTTTTCTTTGGTGTCAAGGTAATAACTATAAATAGTCATTGGCTTCTGGGAAAGGGTAGAAGATTGGGACCTATTATCCAACATACAATGCATTACAGATATATGATCATTACGCTCCAACCGCGTTATTCTATTCCTCCTCTTGGAAGGAAAAGAACTTATAATTCGACCATCAAATTTCTTTATATGTCTCAAATATGATATTGCAAAAGAAATGGGATTTTACATATAAATGAATTTATATCAAATGGCTATATATAATTCAAATCAAATGCCAGATATGTGGATTTTGATATAGTATTTCCTTGGCTATCAGTTAAAAAAGGGACGATGCTAGTTTTTTAGGAAAGGTGGAATAAAATTTATGAACTTACCTTTCTTTGCTGGCTCAGAGATGAGAATATATATTCTACCTTCCGAACCATCAAGACTCTGTACAAATGTCAAATCTTTCCCTTTCCAATATGCACATCCAGATTCACTACCTGCTGTATAGCCCACACATTCGCAGTCATTCCAGCAGTTGACTCTGCAGTCACTCTCAGTAAGGCTTGTACTGTTATCAATATCGATATATGAATCGCTTGCTGGAATAAAATGCCCAGATCTCAAAGCAAACGTCTCTTTGTGATTCCTGCAGTTTTTTGGCTGATCCCATAATTCGCAGCCTTCTCGAGTGTTATAACCATAACAACGTCGCACATCTACAATTATCATTCTGTTATGGTCGAATATAAAACCTTCTGAGTCCAGCTTCCATCCAGAAATTTTTCGTTCATCAGGTGTGCGAACCGGGTCTATTTCAAGGAAGTAGCTCATAAAATCCTCATCATCATTTGTCACATTGACAAAATTGTAAATAGAATTATATGGATCATATCCATAGCCTATATTCTCAAATTTCTTAAGTTTCAAATCTGGCCTTTCCTCATCAAAATAATCCTTCAATTCTCCACTGGTCCAATAAGCCACCCCTCGCCGCCTTATGATCAATCTGTGTCTGCTTGGATCCCATTCAAGCGTAAAAGCTCCGGCCACAGGATTATTCTGAGAAAACCATGATGTAATTGACCAATTTCTTTGAGTCCTGTGATTGACCCCTAGTTTCATCTCAGGAAGAAGGGTGTCAGTGGGATAATCAAAGCTTTGCCACAAAACCCTATCCCTAGAACCATTTATATTCATCTCTTTCACTACGAAATTGCCCGAATTCAACAGAGTGGCTGTTATATTCATACCATTTTCATTTGCATACAGCTCAATAGGATCTCCTCCACTGCTGTTGATGATAAGTTTCCTGGTGCTGCTTATTGTGAGAACACCAGAATTATCAGTAATAGGTTTGTCCCTGTTGCCAAGCCATATTGGACCATATGAATCATCCGTGAACCATACTCCTAAATAACTGTTATTAGTATTTTCGAGGCTACGAAATCCTAAAGTGAAAACTCCATTGGTAGAAACCAGATACGCAGAAGAATTTAGCCTATCCCCCTGTTTGAGGGTATCAACTGATGAAACATGTGACAAAGAAAAATAGAATATCAAAAGGAAGATTGATATGATTCTACTTATTTCTCTCTGCATTTGCATGATAATAAGCAATTGTTAAAGCCTTGCTACAGGAATGTAAAGATGGAGTTTTGAATTGAGTTTAAAAATAGCAGAGATCAGAAGCTAGAAAGAGAATTTGAATTGCAATATTGATTTTTCTTCCTTTTTTTTCTTTTTGTGGTGGGAATAATTTTACTAGTTCCCCCACAGTACACACAATTTTCTAATCCTACCGACATTGACATTTCAAATTTCTTCACATCAAGCAGCAAGATATCAAGAAAAATATCAATCGCATCTTCATAAAAAACTCTTTATTTTTAAAGAGCATATTTTACAATTTAAAGAGTATCGATAAATTTAAAGGGTAAAATTTGTAAATACTCCAACCGTCTCTTTTTATATTTAACACTTAATTTTACTAATTTTATTATATATTTTTTATTTTTTTCCTATCTTTATTTTCACCTACTTGCCTCCAAATTATTATAATATTTTTCTCCGTTTTCTTTGAATACATATTACGTCAATATGTGAAATACTGAAAATTGAAATATTTTAAACTCATTTAATTACAGAGAGTAGGTTTGGCTCTCCAAATTCGAAGAATCAAACTCATTCTCTATTTTAAAATGTTACTTTGAAGAGTCTTTCAAATAAATTTTAATAGTTGATTCTTTAAAATTGAGAGTATTTCATTTTTGAAGAATTTTTTGGAGATGCTCTAAGATTCTTTAAGGATAAAATCTTTAATTAGATTAATTTTTATTTGATTTAGAGAAAAATTATCAACACGGTGCAGTTCTATTAGTTAGAATCTATTCATGAATCAAACACGAAAAATTACATTTACAAAGCATAATCAATGGTAAAATGGAAAAAGAAAAAAAAAATAACAAACATAAAACCAAAAAATTAAACTTAAAAACATAAATTGTTAGGCATATGTCACGTGGTTGCCAATTAAGCAACATGATATGCTCGCACGTTCTCCTCATGTGCCAAATTTAGTGTCCAATAATTGACTTTAGATTGGAGGGCATAAGATCATTCCCTCCTCCATTTTTCCTTGGAGTAGCAGTCTAAGCCTTACATGTGTGTTCAAATAACATATATGTACAAGAGAGAGAAGCTGAGATCTGTTAATGTTTAGATCCTATTTAAACCAAAGGTCAACATAAATAGGTAAAAATGAAAAGGGCTCAGAGACAAGGAAGAATGATGACAATGGGAATGAGGCGGTAAAAGTAACATTCATTGAATATAATCTTTTTTTTTTTTTTTGAAAATATTGGCAACCGCGTTCAAATAACATATATGTACAAGAGAGAGAAACTGATATCTGTTGATGTTTAGGTCCTATCTAGATCAGAGGTCAACATAAATAGGTAAAAATGAAAAGGGCTCGGAGACAGGGAAGAACGATGACAATGGGAATGAGGCAATAAAAGTAACATTCATTGAATATAACATTTTTTTTTTTTTTGAAAATATTGGCAACCGCGTTCAAATAACATATATGTACAAGAGAGAGAAGCTCAAATCTATTGATGTCTAGGTCCTATCTAGATCAGAGGTCAACATAAATAGGTAAAAATGAAAAGGGCTCGGAGACAGGGAAGAACGATGACAATGGGAATGAGACGGTAAAAATAACATTCATTGAATATAACCCTTTTTTTTTTTTGAAAATATTGGCAACCGCGTTCAAATAACATATATGTACAAGAAAGAGAAGTTGAGATATGTTGATGTCTAGGTCTTATCTAGATCAAAGGTCAACATAAATAGGTAAAAATGAAAAGGGCTCGGAGACAGGGAAGGACGATGACAATGGGAATGAGGCGGTAAAAGTAACGTGCATTGAATATAACCTTTTTTTTAATTTTTGAAAATATTGGCAACCGCGTAAATTAGGTGTGGACATTTTCATGTGGAACTACTTGAACCTGAATAGAATCAGACTTAATTTAAGTTCTAGTCTAAATTAAATTGATCTATTCTCATCTTTAGAATCGAGGATATGATAGTTTAGGTTCTTTCTTGGTTCATGCTACATAGATTCATTTCATCCATACAAGAAAAGTATTTTCAAATGAGGTATAGTTCATTTTCGCTCATAGAATATTTCTATTTTCAAAATTTCCAATGGAACCCATTTGGTCCAATTATCAATAAACTTGAATCAAACCACCCTATGCTCACTCTTAATATACCTCTATCAATTTCAATTTAATAATGGACTAAGCTATCAACAGTCAATCATTTTAGAGTGAAATTTTAACTAAAATTTATTTATATTTCGATTAAGTTACCCAACTTTTGATTATTTTTGTTGAATCTCTAGAGATGGCAATGGGATGAGACAGTTAAAAACTCACACATACACGATCAATGCTACTCGTCCTTGGTTTTTGGAGTCATGGGCCTAGGTACTGTCCTTTTAAAGAAATAAAATAAATATGTTATCTTGAAATGGCCAATAAACCACAACGCCCGCATGGTAGGTTTGAGACAGTGAGAAGCTAGTCGAGGTGGTTGGGACTCGAAATTGCCATGTGATCTATGGAGGAAATTTGAAATCTTGAACTTAAAAGCATCCAATGGTTGTTTTACGATTTTCAAACATAACTCGTAAATTAACACTTAAACTAAGTAAATTCAAACTTACAGTTTCGTTGAGTCTTGTGACTTCATGACAATCTCTCATACTAAAATAATTTTTTTTTTCAAATGAAGTATCATCACAAACTCGAACCTGTCCTGCCGATTTGATATGCTGCTCGTCATAATAAGTTTTCCAATGATACTCACTGTGAGAATGCCATGATCATTGATATTGGGTTTGTCTTTGTTGTTAGTATCAGGTACTTTAACGAGCAAATTATTGATGAAATTGAGCAAATTCCTATTCAAAATTGTGTAATCGTGACTTTTGTAGGTTTAAATCCCAAATTGGAGGAGAAAAAAGCTAAAGGAATGCAAAAAAAAAAAAAAAATCAAAAACAAAAACAAAACAAAACAAAACAAAAATGCACAAAAATATGACTTGTGGAACCAAAATGTACAATTTCCGAAAGTTTAGGGACCTTGGATTGCAATTTCTGGAGGGCATGATGGAAATGGAAGTCAAAATATAAGGACCAAAATGTACAAGATAAAAGTTAAGGGACGGAACATGCAATTATGCCGTGGACAGAAACAACAAATAGGAAGAAATTGAAGTGGCGCCTAAGCGTCAAGTTTCAGGTGCCATGGCAGAGCCATGGTGCCTAGGTTCCATGCATCAGTGCCTAGGCAACCAGACTACACGCTGGGGCTATTTAATTTATTCTTCAAAATTTGGAGGTCAATCTGCAATTAATTGGGACGGTTTCTGGGCCCTTTTAGTGCATATTTCAACCATTTTAACCTCATTTAATCTATCATCTCTTTCTACACACTTGAAACCCTAGGCTTGTAAAAAAAATAGTAGGAGAAAATGAGGAAATACAAAGCAAAATTTGGGATTTTAAAGAAAGATTCAAGATTTCAATCCTTCATTTCTTCAAAAATACATTCAAGTGACGATTTTCTTCTACTATCTTGTATCTTTTCATTATGTCCCTCATTTTGTAATGGATTTCATCGCTATTTCCATATTCTATTTCGATTGTGCAATGGGCTAAGTGTTTAAAATTAGAATTCATGATTTTACTTGACCTAAGTCTCATTAATATCAATATTTGCCATTTAATGCTAAAGTTGTCATTGTTATTGTGCATTTTTTATTGTGCTTACATTTCCATCAATGGATGATTGGGTTTGGTAGTTTGTGTAATTATTGAGAGATTATTGTGCTTGTAGACCAAAATAATTAATGCTTAGGTTGTTTTAAGAGAGAGAGAGATGCCCATAATCCTATGTAATCCATTAAGTTATTTTCACTATAATTTAATGCAATTAATTTTGTCATGTGTAAAACTAATCAATTAAAGTTATTTTCGCTCGAGAAAAATAACTAACTCGAGAAAAATAACTAACTAAAATTGAAAAATCGGGTCGAACAATATAACTTGGTGATTTACATTTTCGGTTTATTGCGGTATTAATGAAACGATGGTTAAGTAATATCATAAATCCCAACTCATTTAAAATCCTATATCTTATCACTTTTACCATTATTAGTTTAATGAATTATAAAATTATTTTCTTTTCCTTTCTAACTTCAAAAATTTAATTGTGCGATTTTATCATTAATTTGAATCAAATATCGTATAATTGGAAGAAACACTTTTCGAAGAATCGACTTAGACTCAACATCCACATTACTTGAACACACCCGTCCACTTACGGTATACAATTTTAGCAAAAAATTGCTAAATAATTTGAACTAGGGAACCTAATACTGATTCCCTGTTTCGAGCAGCTTTTCCACAAAGAGAAAAGCAATTTTTTTTTACCCTTTGTCAACTGAGACCCACATGTGAGAATGGGTCAAAAAATGGCTGCCCTAAAAATTTCCTCGTTATTGAAATCTTGGGATTACATGTGCCTAAAAAGTCAAAGGTTATAAGCAGAATAATCAAGCATACCCCCTGAATTGAGGGAGTCGGTGGATGAAACTACGGACACAATATCAATAAGTAGATGCTAACAGCTCTGGCATTGGACAAAAATGTAGACAGTGACATGTGATTTGTGTTTAAAATTCAGATATTGTAAGCAGAGAAAATAATTAAGGGTGTGTTTGATTGTCAATATGTTTTATAGAAAATATGTTTTTTCACCAAAATTTCTATTTTTGTGTTGTTTGATTGTTATTTTTTTTTAAGAAAAATATTTTCCCACTTTTGATCACGTAGCCATATTTTTCTCAAAGATCGAGGGTCGAGGTGGCAAAAGCCAAACCCGAGATTTAATCCCGGGTTATGTAGCAGAGTTGTATATCGAATTATGGATATAATATATACTTTATAGATCATTTCATATATTTCCATAGCATTTCATCATTTTCATATCATTTCGTAAACTTCCTAACATCTTCATACGATTTTATCATTTTCGTACCATATTTTAGGATTTTATACAATTTCTTACATTTTGTTATCATGAAAAAAAAAGGAAATAATGCCCATTTCTGGGAAACCTCACCAGCTTCAGTGTTTTGAGATAAACCATTTTTTGTAGTCATGTCTTGAAATTTCTCTGGTTTCGCCGTGTGAGCATTGACGGAGGTTACAGTGCCGGAGGATAGAGCCAAAAAAATAATCTAAATTACAAGAAACCTTGAAATATATCAGTAAATTTAATGTGTCAATAAAACTTTCATCTTTTAGTAAGATAATAAAAGTAATTAATATTAACTTAAAAATATGTTTGTCATTAAATAACACTAAAATAAATAATTCCAGATTATTAATGAATTTTCGGTTTGTAATATTCAAAAAATAACTATTTATAAATTTAATTTATCGACAAAAGTTTCATTTATAAGTAAGTATAGATATAAAAATTAAATACTAATGATAACAAATTTTGTCAATAACAAAATTAGCATCACTTTGAGAGGCCTCGAGCTCTGTTGGCCGATCCGAAAACTAGGGAGTATCGCTAGATGATTTTCAAGTTCAGAATTCTTTACTTCAAGCTTCTCAATTCGCTTAGTTTGAGCTACAAACAAAGCCACCTTAAGGTCTTTCTCTAATGCTTCAGTGACCGTTAGTAAAAGCTCCCCATAAGTTCAATGACCGTCTCTATAAGTTTTAAACTTCAATGATCGTTTTGAAATTTTTAGGTAAGTTCAGTCACCGTTTGTGAAATTAACCCATTTATTTTAACAGATTGTTTTAACTATAAAATTGACTCAGAAAGATAACACTAATAAATATTAATTTATAAATATGGAATCCATCAATGCAAGAAGTTGATATTTTCTCATTAATTTCGTGTTTGTCATTCCTTAACAAATTAAATTGTTCGCTACAGTAACACTCTACAAGACATTCACACAATAAAATATTCTACACTCAAACCAATAAAATTTCTTTAAAATTTAACCACATTCTCAAAAAACTACTATTCAATATTCTATGATTTCTTCCATGATGTAAGACAAACATGCTTTAACAACGAATTATCTGGTAGAAGTAAGTTGAATGACTATCAACTTTAGGGGCCTATTTATAATATCCCAAAAGCTTTATCTTGAAGACATAACCATCTAGCCCTTATTTGATACAGATTATTTTCAAAATACATTTCTTTTTTATTTTTTCAACCATACATTTTTCAATAAAATAATATTACGCAAATTCAAAACTTTTCCTTATTCTTTAACCACACATTCTCCATCAGTCTGCTATTCCAAAATACATTTTTAGACCAAAAAAAAAAAATGAGACTCAAACATGCTCCTAATAAGACAAGTCAAGAAAATGTGGAAAGGATAGACAAATTCTTGAATGTCTTCTACAAGCTGTCTTACTTTAACGTAGCACCGCTTTTGAGAAATGCTCATATAAATCAGCAAATTTTGTGTCTAAAATTATGCAGCAACAAGATCTGGTGTTTCTGCCTCAACAGATAGCAAAGCAGTGTGTACTTTATCCATCCAATTAACCAACCGGTCACGCAATGACTTGATTTGAGGAATCCCCAAAACTCTAGGTTGAACCCACGACACATGAACTGTTTCCTCGACTTGATCGATAATCCCCTCGATCAGATGAACCTGCAGTAAGGTTGTGCCACTAATCAGAAGGCTCCATAGAACTTAAAAGTGAATAGATCTACTCTCCTTTATTGTAGTTATCATTACTCCAACATATGATCATTTAGATGAAAATGTGACGACACACTAGAGATGAATGATGTCATTACGTACCCCAAAATTTGAAGTCCTTAAATTGGGGGGAAATGTGGGAAATGTAGATGGAAATGAAGATGCCAAAGTTGCAACAAGTTATTTGTTATCCCTCAAAGAGAAAGTTGTGACATCATATTAAAAATCGTAAGCATCAAGGTGAATTGGGGGGAAATGAGGGAAATGTAGTCGGAAATGTAGTCAGAAATGAAGATGCCAAAGTTGCAACAAAGTTATTTGTTATCCCTCAAAGAGCAAGTTGTGACGTCATATT